GAAGAAGAAGAAGAAGAAGAAGAAGAAGAAGAAGAAGAAGAAGAAGAAGAAGAAGAAGAAGAAGAAGAAGAAGAAGAAGAAGAAGAAGAAAAGTTTCTACTGCCAGGGGGCACTTTTCAACAGCTTGTTTTCTCTTAAGACAAAGGACGAACTGGCATCGTGTTTCAAGGATGGCAAAACATTGATTTGTGGCAAAATGGTTTCTTTCTTCTTTCCTTCTCCTTTAACTGCATGCCTTTGTTCAAAGTGGCAATGCTGCTGCCTTGTGTTAGTTGACTGCTGAAGATGTTAGCTGCCAAATGTGAATTTCCTAATAATGTTCCAGATCAAAACCGCATTAAATGGGTAGCTTCTCCCCGCCTGCCCCCTTTCCCCTACTGAATCTTTCCTAACGAGGGTGATCTTGAGGGCCTGTCAGCTGCTGAACTTCGGGGAGACAGAGAAAAGTAGAATCAAAGGAGTTTTATTGGAGCCTGCTCTTACACCTGGGACATGTTCCTAGGATTCACCCTTCAGATCTGCACGGGTTTAAGGAGAGGGGCGACTGTGAAACCCCCTCGAGTTCTAATGGGTGAAAAACAGATGCAAGGTTTTAGATAGCGAGGCCAGTATGGAAGTGTCCAGACTGCACTCTGTCCAAAGACACTTCTTTCTCATCAGGCAAGGATCTGACAGAAGGTGTGGGTGCTGCAACTTCAAAGCAAAAAGCAGTTGCATATGTTGCCTCCTTCCTTCCTCCCTGCCCTCTTTCATCCTCCTTATTATTAAGAGAGTCCCTCTATTAATCTGCAAAGGATTAGAAAAGAAGATAGGTGTGTGCAGAGTGTCCATATGGTGCCCCGAAATTAAAAAAGACAGACCACCCATGTCGCACATCAATCTTAACAACAGGAGGAAAACTCCAACTCACCGGTTGCCTGGCTGACTCCGTTTTTGGCAAAGAGAAGAATTATTTCTATCTGCACACAGAGAAGAGAAATCATTTTTAAATGGCTACTCCTCCAAGTCAGGGGGAAGGCAAGAGTGGGAGGGTAGCCTTGAAGGACGGGGCTGAAAGTTTTCCAAGGTTAGGGATTTTGATCTTTGGTAGCATCTCTCTTGGGGATGGGTTGGCCGAAGAAGGAGAGACCTTGAAGTTGTCTCCAATTTGTCTTCAACCTCAAAGGAGTTCCTAACCCTGAAACCAAAGTGTTACAGCCTAAACTGTGGAAAGACAAGATGAGAAAGATTCCACATTCAATTTCCAGATGTCCGTAGAGGATACTGGAAGCCAAGCAGGAAGGTAGCCCTATCTGCTGGGACTCTGGCTGGGTAAAATCTAGGGAACTGACCAGTAATGGTATCCTCTTAGCATCACTACTGTTTCAGTAGCAGGAGCGCATGCACAGAAGGTCCGTGACGATGTCTGGGTGGATGGGTGGAGCCTCGCGCCACTGCCACTACCAGTTCGCCCGATTACCACCACTGACTGAGGAACAGTTTTGCTCAAGTATCCGGGAAGAGTTCTAACCAATTGGTCATGAAGAATTAGGCAAGTCCTTGGAGCTGTGAATGTGGCCGCTTGTATATTAGACCCATGTCCTTCCTGGTTGGTTAAGACCTCCCAGAAGATCTGATATGTGATTGGACCCAAGCTGTGGATGCTTCTTTGCAGAAGGAAGCAGTCTACCTACTTTGAAAGCTTTCCGTCCCTTTCTCAAAAAGCTATTGTTTTGATCCAATAGTACGGGCAAGTTTCATCCAGTTTGCAAACCTTCCTCTCCTAGGGAAGGTTGTTGAGAGAACAGCCCTATGAAGCTAGAAAGGCTCAGGGAAAATATATCACCTGGATCCTTTTTGGTTGGGTTTCAGGTTATAGCAGTGATGGCTAACCTTTTCCAGATCAAGTGCCCAAAGTGCGCCCGCACCCCCAAAATACAATGTCCATGTGCCCCCCATGCACGCGCCCCATATGCGTGTGGCACCCCTCCCCCCACATGCATGCACACCCCTCCGCACACACCCTTTCCCCCTATGCATGCCACCCACCCACTCGCATGCACGGCAGAGACCCAATGACCAGCTGGCCGCTGGGAGGCACGTGCACATGCACGGCAGAGCTGAACTGGAGCGATGGCTTGCATGCCCACAGAGAGGGTGCTGCATGCCACCTGTGGCACACTTGCCATAGGTTCACCAGCACGGGGTTATAGCATCAAAACAGCCATGGCTATGCTTGTGGATACTCTCTGGAAGGTTTGGGGTGGGGTGGTACATCCATCCTAGCCCTCCTGGATATCTTGGTGGCCTTTGATACCAGTGACCATGTCATCTTTAGAGTTAGCTTAGTGGGTAGCATTGGGAGGCACAGTTCTGAGGTGGTTCTCCACCTTCCTCCAAGGCCAGTTTCAGTCAGCAGAGAGTATTGATGGAGGAGAAGAGGTCTAATCCTGTTCCTGCAGTGTGGAGTACCTTGGGGCTTAATTCTTTCCTTAGTCCGATTTAATTGTTACACAAAGCTGCTGAACATGCTCATCTGTCAGCATTGTGCAAATGATGTTGCAGAAGTGCTTAGCCAGTGCCTGGAGTCTATGAGGGTCTGGATCCACAGGTTGCAACTCAGTCTCAAGGACACTGAGCATCTTTGGTCCTGGAGCTGTTCCAAGAAGAACTCTGGATGGGGTTGCACTCCCCCAAAGAAAGTTAATGTACAGTCTGGGGGGGCTCTCCCAGGCTCACAACTGCTGCTCAAGGAGTAAGGGGCAGTTGTTACTAGGAGAGCCTCTGCTAAGGTCCAATTGGGCATCAGTTGCACCTTTTCCTAGCTCAGGAGGTTCTGCTCACAGTCACGTATGCCTTCTTCACTCCCTGCCTGGCAATGAGCTCCACAGGGAATGAAAAACACTTGAAAGTTCCAAATGGTTCCTAAGGCAGCAGCATGTTCAGCGCTGGATGGATGAATCTAAGTTCATCCATGTAGTAACTCTGCTGTATGAATTTCCCTGACTTTCAGTCTGCTTCTAGGCAGTGGCGGATTAAGGCTCACTGGTGCCCTAAGCACTGACAAATCTTGGGGTGGGGGGTGTCCTTTGTATATACTGTACAAATCTTCAATGGGTTTTTTTTTTCTTTCTCAACTTTGCGGTGCCCCCTTTGGGCCTGGTGCCCTAAGCAGGTGCTTAGTCTGCTGAATGGTTAATACACCACTGCTTCTAGGTTCAATTCAGGATGGTGGGTAATATCACTTATAAAACCTGGCATGACATAAGCCAAGGTTCTTTGTGGGGGCCACCTATCTGCATTCATTTCGACTTGTCCCATCACATCAACTAGAGTGGACAGATGTCATGAAATGGTGCCATCTTGAAGGGCCCAGATGTGCCTTCTCTGCCATGTTCTGTGAAACAGCTTCCCCCCCCAAGAGATCTGGAGATCCCCAAACTGGTTGCCCCTTATGAAAGACTGTACAAACCTGGCCTTTCCCACAGGTATTAGAGCTGGGTGGTTAGCTATTGGA